TTCTCATGCGCCCTTTGCCATGATGCCCCATCAACCTTATTTCCAATTTCCTCCCCATTTTCCCTCCCCGCCTCCCGCACACAGACCGCCCTAGACCTTCATAAGAGCACGCTCGTCCTGTACGACCCCGACTCCCCTTCCCCCACCCACCTCGACCTCGCCCACCTTCGTGCCTCTGGACCGCGTGAGCTCCGTCAGCTACTGTACGGCCCCTGTCTAGCCTGGCCAGGTTTCCGTACCAGCAGTAGCGGCGGTAGTGGAGGCGGGTCGGAGGCAGATGCTATAGTTCGTGAGGTCATCGATATGTGTGGGTTTGGGGACCCTTTGGGAAGTGTGTGCTGCAGCTGTGGCCGCCCCCGAGCGAACAGCCCCCAACATCCCCCAACACGTTCACCTCCTCCGTCTCCGCCGCCTAGATGGCCGACATCGGGTAGTTAGTTAGTAGGGCTAGTTATTGTTAGATGGTCGTTGTTAGGAAACGATGGTTTCGGAGCGGTTGGTTTCGGAGTGGAAAGTCAATCAGGAAAGGTGCGGATGAAGACGTAAGCTACTTGGGCTGAGCTGCAAAGGAGAGTCGAGAGATAGAAGAGAAGGAAGAAAAAGTCGAGAAGGGCAAAAAGAGAGAAGAGAGAGAGAGGCGAAAAGAGAGATAGAGAGGCGAAGAGAGAGCTGACGTGCCTGGGTGCCTTAGTGGGCTTCTGGCGTTATGTTTGCGACGTTATGGATTCACGAGCTGGAAGGGCCCTGTTGGTTGGTGTCCCTGGTGCTGTTGCTGGTGCTGCTGTATCACTCTGCTGTTGCTGTTGCTGCTGCTGCTGCCGAAAATGCACCACTGCTGCTGAGACGGCTGCTACTACTACAATATCGTGCTGGGGGGCGCATGGCCAATATGGTTTCGGGGCGCTATATGTGTATGTATATACTTTCGGCTAGAGAGAGGGCAGGAAGTGGCGTGGAGGAATAAGGGGGCGCGGGAGGGGAACCAACACGGGGAACAGGTCCCGGTCTTTGCTCAGCTGGTCAGTCCGAGGAAAGGGCTTTGGTGTTTGGTGTTTGGTGTTTGGTGTTTGGTGTTTGGTGTTTGGTGTTTGGTGTTTGGTGTTTGGTGTTTGGTGTTTGGTGTTTGGTGTTTGGTGTTTGGTGTTTGGTGTTTGGTGTTTGGTGCACGTATAGCATAGGGATCCGAAGGGGCGAGCGGGGGGTCGGGTGATAAGAGGAGCAGAGGCGAGCAACTGTGTTTCCTCCCGCCCGCCGTACATAACGCTCTGTCAGGCTTACAGCATCATGTGCCGTCACCATGCAGCAGAGTCACCGTCACCATGCACCATCACGATGACCGGTTTGGTTGGTTGACTGCCGGGTCGACGGTTGATGTTTTACCACGACTTCAGGAAAGTGCCACTGAGCCGCAAGCTTTGCGGAAAGCTTCGAGTATGCAACAGTTGACGACCCGCAGTTGCGACATACCACGTGTGGGCATGCATAACATCGGTGCACGCTTGGTGTGTTTGCGTGTGTGTGTACATGTGTGTATGTGCGTATGTATATGCGTGTATGTGTGTATGACTTAGATTACACTGTGGGCCGCGAGAGCCGGGGGCCGAAGCCGAAACACAGCGCAAGGGTCGGGAGCACACAGCACAAGTCGGTGTGTGTATGCACTAAAAATGTGCTCCAAGAAGATAGTGGTGCGTGTGTGTGTGTGTGTGTGTGTGTGCACGGGTGTGCGGGTGTGTTTTGGGAGAGCTGCACGCTCGGGATGTCCTCCGCTTCGACCCTCCTGGTTGCAGAGCCAACTAGATAACATTATGGAGGGCAGAAACAGTTTTGATTTCATCCATATGTTTGCGTTCGTCCAATAAATGCCTTGACCTGCCGCCGCAGATCACGGAGATAGCATTCGGCAAATTTTCCGCTTCACGGTAATAAGGCTTGTTTGGGTCAAGCCAACGACCCTCTGCCAGTGCAGCAAGGCATCAGGAAAACGAAGCATTAAATGCTTTATTTGAACATTTCACCTCGTCGTTCTGAACTGCTGGGAGATGCGTATTTAGAGGCTGTAGTGTTCGGTGGCACTGTGTGTGTGTGGTGGTTACAGTGGGCTCCAGACTCACGAAGAGTAAAGTAAAGGCACTGTGGTAGAGTGCGCAGACTGCTGCCCCTGCAGCATAGTATAGTTGATATCTTATTGTCGTACCCTCACGAGGGCGGGGAATGTATGTGTGTGAGAGAAAAGAAATGTCGGGCGAGCTGCGTGGAAAATGTTGTGTTGTATGACGTTGTTTATACTGTGGGCTGGAAAGCCGGGGCCCCACAACCGAACATAGCGGCGGGTCAGATGCACACGGCTGGTTAGCATCATGCATTCCGCCCCCCCAGGTCCGACCGCACGAGATACGACAGCCGGCACTCAGCAGCGTGTTCCCCACCGGGGGGTAGTGCTACAGCTAAACGGGCTCTAGGCCTGCTGGTCGCCCCATAATAACAAAGTTGCACCCGGGGAGTTCTTCCTTCCCACGGGCAGAAAGTACAGGAAAATCTCAAACAGCAAGCATTCAGGACCAGGTTGAACGGAGCCTGATGAGTCATCCCGGGCTGGGGAGGTCACCAAGCTCCTGTTTCAGGAGCAGGGGGCTCCTGCTGTGTGCATACACACAAAGCAGGAGTATCATTGCGGCAACGTGTGTTGCCGCTGCTGCACCAAATCCATGGGTCGGGACTGCCCGACAGACATCGGCAAACGCTTCGGGAGTTTCCGTACGACCCGAAACTCCCGAAAACAGAAATAGAGTTCTCGAAGCCGGCCGGCTTGCAGAAATACGACCATCCGCCGTACACGAAAGATGTTATGCGGCCCGAAGAGCCGCCCGATGACCTAAGTCCGATGTTGGGCGGATAGCTGCTGTAAATTCAAGGGCCGGTCCTCCAGAAACATACTAAGGCAGATATCGCCTCAGGGAAGCAGTGACGCATTGGAGATTTCCTGCCTAAGAAACCGGTTGCAGAGACTCAAAGGGAACCAGATGCGCGGGTCGACATAGGCGCCTACGGGAGCAGCAGCGCTGGTGCTGGTCCATCTGATTCCGAGAGGTGAGCAGGCCTAGGTGACTTCCTCTCATGATCCACAAGATGGTGTTGAATTGGAATGAAGTCTGAACATTTTGTGTAGATTCTGTTCGACAGCGGAGCCCTGGAGATAACACTTTGGGGGGAACATGGCCGCAGGCAAGTAATAAGTCCGCGGGCCTGGAGGGAGCCCCGGCCGAGTATTACAAGTACGCTATCTGGGAAAGTGAAGGGCAGCAGCCCGTGTTTGTATTGGCGCCTTACTTAACGGTGCTATACAACCGCATATACGGAGCTGAATACCTGTGAGGTTTCACGACTAGCACCCTGTCCCCGTCCCCCGTATTCGAAAAAAGGGGACGTGTCATGCTGTGACAGTTATCGGGAATAGCAGTTGGGGGTCCCTGTGCAAACTTTATGCCAATATCATCGAAGAGGCGACTCACCACTTACTGGGAGGGCAACAGGCTACGTGCCTTTAGCCAGGCTTGGTGTAGGCATGGGTGTAGGCATGGCACTGTTGTATCCTGTATGCTTACTCGGTTGCCTAACGGTCAGATGCCGGTCCGTTCAGTTCTAACACTGCTATTATTAACGAATACCTGTTTGTATCCGCTGCCGTTGATAACAGGTTTAACTAATGCTAATATTAGTTTATTGGCGGCTTACGACTGCTGCTAGTCGAGTTCGCCGGCCAAATGCCGCACTGCTGCGGAAGTCCATACCGGTGTATGGGCGGGGGCTTTACCTGCGTAAAGCTGGAACCTGCGTTCCTGGTTCGTCTGCTTCACCGGGCGAGAGTAGTTCCTGTGAACTATGGTCAACCGAACATCGCACCGCCCAGTCATACTGGGAACTTATCGGCGCGAGGCCCAAGTGGTTGCTACAACGACTATTTATTCGTTCCACTTGTCTCAACCGGTATCTTTCGATACCACCATCTATGGTTGTGTCATCTTAAGGATACTACAGGCACCGAGCATCACTTGTTTACATTAAGGCATCTCATCTCGAAGCACACTGTGACCGGAGCCAGGTCGCTTATTAAAATGCAAATTGACTTTAGTAAGGTGTTCGACTCCGTTAACCATGAGACACTTTGGGACTTCCTCATGTTGTGGCCACACAGGCGCATCCTCGATTCTTTGAAGACTAGCTACACTGGCGTGAAGGTTCGGGTCAAGTTGGGGAATAGGTTGGGACCTGAATTCACGGTGGGGCATGGTGTGAAGCAAGGGTGGCCCCTTAGCGTAACCCTTTTTGGACTCCTCATAGAAGTATTCACTCATTATATTGATGCTCATGATGCTAATTGCCATGTATGCCTTCCTAGCCGGTGGAGCACCCTCCACAAGCAGAGTGTTAGCCTGGCGGGCGGTGAACTCACCAACCTACTTTTAGTTGATGATGTGTCACTGGTAGCGACCGGGCAGGATAGAGCAGAATGCCTTCTGGGGCTACTCAAAGCCTACTGCAAAGCGATGGGTGTGGCCGTGAATGCCGCCAAGTGTGAGGTCCTCATTTTTTGGGGCACTACACGTGAGCGAAGCAGCTTATGGAAGCTGAGTACCGGTTATAACCTTATTAGGTGGGGTGGGGTTGTGGGTGCTGACCGGCAACGAGACTGCACGGTACCTCGGGTTGCACTATGGCCCAGGACTGCAGTTTTCAGCATGTACCAAGCAACTACTCGCAGCAGGGAGGCGGGCCACGCTTGGGGTCAGCACCCTGTGTCGAGATAAGAAAATTACCACCCGCAAGGTATGTATGCCTCTCTGCAATACACTAGTTGTACCGGTGTTTTCTCATGGCGCGCAAGTTTGGGGACCTGACTTCATAAATGTGAGTTTTGAAGGTGCTATGGCTAATCCCATGGTCCAGGAGCAGGATGCGGACATGCGATCTGTAGTTGGGGTGAGGAGCCCGACTATGGC